AAACCTAAATGTGAGGACAGGGATCCCCCAAAGCGTCCCTATATGGGGACATGGGGACAGGAAGAGCCCAGTATGGGGACAGGACCCCCAATATGTGCACAAAGACCCCCCAGTGTATGTCCAGAGACCCCCAGTATGGGCACAAGGAACCCAAATGTGACGACAGGGATCCCCCAAAGCGTGCCTGTAAGGGGACAAGGGGACAGGACCCTGATATGGGGACTGGGACCCCTTGCATGTTCCTATATAGGGATATAAAAACAGAAAGATCCCAGTATGGAGACAAAACCCCCAAAATGTAGACAGGGACCCCAGTATGGACACAAGAAACCTAAATGTGAGGACAGGGATCCCTCAAAGCATCCCTATATGGGGACATGGGGACAGGAAGAGCCCACTATGGGGACAGGGACTCCCAATATGGGCACAAAGACCCCCCAGTGTGGCCAGAGACCCCCAGTATGGGCACAAGGAACCCAAATGTGAGGACAAGGATCCCCCAAAGCGTCCCTGTATGGGGACATGGGGACAGGAAGACCCCATTATGGGGACAGGGACCCCAATATGGGCACAAGGAACCTAAATGCGAGGACAGGGATTCCCCAAAGCGTCCCTGTATGGGGACACGGGGACAGGAAGACCCTGTTATGAGGACAGGGTCCCCTTGCACATCCCTATATAGGAACATAGGGACACGCAGACCCCATTATGGGGACAAGACCCCCAAATTGGGGACAGGGACCCCAATATGGGCACAAGGAACCCAAATGTGAGGACAGGATCCCCCAAAGCGTCCCTATATGGGGACATGGGGACAGGAAGACCCCGTTATGGGGACATGACCCCCAGCATGGGCAAAAAGACCCCCCAGTGTGTGGCCAGAGACCCCCAGTATGGGCACAAGAAACCTAAATGTGAGGACAGGGATCCCCCAAAGCGTCCCTATATGGGGACATGGGGACAGGAAGAGCCCACTATGGGGACAGGGACTCCCAATATGGGCACAAAGACCCCCAGTGTGTCCAGAGACCCCCAATATGGGCACAAGGAACCCAAATGTGAGGACAGGATCCCCCAAAGCGTCCCTATATGGGGACATGGGGACAGGAAGACCCCGTTATGGGGACAGGACCCCCAACATGGGCACAAAGACCCCCCAGTGTGTGGCCAGAGACCCCCAACGTGTGCTCAAGACCCCCAATATTGGGGCAGAACCCCAATGTATGGCACAGGGACCCCAATGTGTGCACAAAGACCCCCCAGTGTGTGGCCAGAGACCCCCAATATGGGCACAAGGAACCCAAATGTGAGGACAGGGATCCCCCAAAGTGTGCCTGTATGGGGACACGGGGACAGGACCCTGATATGGGGACAGGGACCCCTTGAACATCCCTATATAGGGACATAGGAAGACCCCGTTATGGGGACAAGACCCCCGAAATGGGGACAGGGACCCCCAATATGGGCACAAGGAACCCAAATGTGAGGACAAGGATCCCCCAAAGCGTCCCTATATGGGGACATGGGGACAGGAAGACCCCGTTATGGGGACAGGACCCCTGATATGGGCACAGAGACCCCCAACGTGTGCTCAAGACCCCCAATGTGGGGACAGAACCCGAATACATGGCACAGGGACCCCCAATGTGTGCACAAAGACCCCCCAGCGTGTGGCCAGAGCCCCCAGCCTCATAAGCAGGAGCTCGTTAGCGTGAGTTCATTACTGGGGGACTCGCGGGCTCCACTCAGGTCCCAGTTGGTGACACTTTGGTGACATTTGGTGACACTTTGGTGATAATTGGTGACACTTTGGTGACACTTTGGCGGCTCCGGGCTGTGCACAGCCCTTTCCTCGCCCCGCATCCCCGCTTTTTCACCGCTTCGCGGATTAAATCCGGCCTTTAATCGACCCGCTCCTCTCACAGCACCTCTCCACAGCACGG